AGCAATTGCAGAAATGGCACATCAGGAACATTTGTTCTGAAATTTTCATTTTGATGCCATAGGTTGATTACATATTTTCTTTATTTTGTTTTCTTTTCAAATCATGTACTTACAATGGGCATGGAATTTTCTGGCTTAATCATCAATCGCTGTCGCTCTGAATACCTTCATTTTCCCTGAACACCCTTGAAAAGAATTCAAAAACCTCTTGATGCAAGTAAATTTTTTTATTCCTAAAACTAGTTTTTCAGTCCATACTATCATCATCTATTCAATACTTTCAGAGTGCTCTGGCTTACTTTTAAAGTTTTTCTAAACAGTTGGTCTGTTAAGCAAGTCCAAGCTCCAAAGGCTAATTTAACGTTTTAATTTTACAACTAGTTATTTAAGTCTATATTTTTAGCTTGAGAAAATATTCTACTTAAAGATTCCCTTTAGTATCATAAACAGAATACTAAATGCTCAATGGAATCTCTCTGGAGCCTATTTTGTTCTTTGGCTAGAGTAGGAGCACCTGTAAATTTCCATTCTTTGTCATTGTAAACAATGCAGCAAAGAGCTACCTCAGTCTGAAAGGTTAAGTAGACTTTTCCGCAGACTCCCATTTACATTTATCACCAAGGGAAAAACATACGTGAATATTTTTAGAGACTTGACCAAAAGCATTATCTTCACGACATCAGATGAAGGATGGGAACCATGGCTAATGTATCTTTCTCCATTCCTGTCTTCCGGCCTCGCAGGAGTCCAGGTCAGGAATACTCAAGTGTGTTCTCGGCTTTCCCATTAACGATCCCTTAAGCATCGAGTAACTGTATTCTGAACAATTGTATTTTGCACAGGGTGCCCCGGAAGGGGAGATGCACAGCACTGAGAGAGGCTGATCTTGCAGGCCGAGCATTTCATGGAACAAACTACTGAAGATACTAGAGTGTAGGAGTGCTCAGGAGTTCATTCTTCCAAAAGGCAAGTGCCTCCCTGTTCCACTCTCTAAGCTGGGTACCTGGGAGTAACAAAGGAAGTGCTTAGTGAAATATAAAACCAAATGGTTTAAAAGATTTCATATTACTTCTCAGCAGTAAAAACCCTGAACTTAAAAACCAAGTTATAGGGGGCTGGGGATTTAGCTCAGCGGCATAAGCGCCTGCCCTGCAAGCAGGCAGTGGTGAGTTCGATCCCCGGTACCAATAAAAAGGAAAAAGACAAAAAAAAAAAAAAAAAAAAAATTATGAGCTCAGTAGATAGCTCATTGGCATAGTCCCTCCTGGCAAGTGTGAAGTCCTGAGTTCAAATCCCAGTAAAAAACAAAAACAAACAAAGAAACCCCTGAATTATTGATCTGAATTACCACATATATGCACCTCAAAGTAATTACACTGAAAGAACCCAGACAGAGTATCTTTTATTCTATTTCATTTACGGAAACCTCTAGAAAATGTGCAGTAATCTCTAGTGACAGGAAGCAGATCACATCATGGTTAATTCAAGGGAAGAGAAAGTAGAGAGGATTTGGGAAGAAGCGCAAGTGTTACATTACAGAGGGCAACATGTATGTCCACCATCTTCATCATGATGATGGGCTCATTGATGTATCGTTACAGCAAAACTTCTACTGAATTGTGATGGTATGGACAACTATTGTGAAGATAACAAGATATATTATAGTGGCCATAGCTGATTTCCTGTTATTTTGTTTTGAAGTTCTATACCACTTTCACTGCTTTGTTTTGATGGGCTTTATTTATTTATTTATTTGTCTTTTTCGTTTTTATCGGTACCAGGGATCGAACTCATGACTGCCTGCTTGCAAGGCAGGCACTTATACCGCTGAGCTAAATCCCCAGCCCCTTGATTGGCTTTATTCTGTTTTGTTTTGTTGGTTTTATTTTTGTTTCTTTTCTTTTTTTTTTTTTCTTTTTGTACCAGGGATCACACTCATGACCTTGCACTTGCCAGGCAGGTGCTTATGCCGCTGAGCTAAATCCCTGGCCCTGGGTTTTATTTTTGTTAAAAAAAAAAAAAAAACTTACTGAAAAAAAGTTTTTTAAACTTACTGAATTGTACTTTAAATATGATAGGCCGGGCTCAGGGTTTAGCTGTGTCAGAAGCACCTGCCTGGCAAGAGCGAGGTCATGAGTTCAATCCCCGGTATCAAAATAAATAAATAAGGGGCTGGGGATTTAGCTCAGTGGCATAAGCGCCTGCTTTGCAAGCACAGTCCTGAGTTTGATCCCCAGTACAAAAATAAATAAATAAATACCATATGCCAAGATGCCTTTAAAAAAATAGAATTCTGGATAAAAGAAGAGAGATTGGCATTGAAAGAGACAAAGGGAAAGAAAAACGTGTGCTTGTGTATGTGTGCGTGTGTGTGCGTCTGTGGTAGGGTGGATTCTGGGGCTTCTCTTGCATTTCTTTCCGCCTCAAGAACACCAGACGGAGTCTGACTGTAAGATTCTTTTTTCAGTACTTCCCCGCATTTTCAGCTGCCAGGGTGGTCTACAGGCTTAGCTTTCCAGTCTCAGGCAGAGTGAGCCTTAGAACCGCTAACTTCAGCTGCTGCTTTGTGGCTCTTGGGCCTGGAATGCCGCTTCTACCTGCGTATGTTTGATGGGATGTTTCCTCTAAATGATCCAAACTTTCTCACTCCTTTTAGGCCCTTGGTGAAAATAAGATTTATTTCACTGTCTTTTCTAGTTCTGAAAACAAAGTTCAGTATCCTCCTGAAGTCTCCCTGCTACTTATTATCTAAACCGCTCTTCCGACTCCTATTTGCTGCCTGGCATTGTTTGCTTTCCATGTGCACATCTTCTAACTAGAATATGAACTTCTTCGGGGTACAGACTGGATCATATTTATCTTTATGCCTTGCCCAAGGCACCTAATAAGTGTCAATTTAAAATACCTCCGTTTTAGAGTCCTTTCAACACACTTCCCCAGCCATTATCTCATTTGATCATTACATCAACACTAGGAGGTTATAGCCACTGGAAATATGTTATTTCCTCCTTTTGACACATAAGGAACCTGAAGCCCAAGGTCACGTGGCTCCTCAGAGAGGTCTGGTCCCATGCAAGGCCTCCCAATGCTGTCTCCTCAGCCCTGCTGCTGGAGACAGGCATCTGCACCTTCCCCTCCACCTCCTCCTGCGCACTCCAGAGCTGTGCAGCCAGAGCTTTGTAGTCCCACATTTGAGAATTTGACAAGCTCTCCGCAAGAAATTTCTGTTGGTTTCTGATCAGCTCTGAGTCACCAAACAAGCTTGCTATTTTATTCCAAGTGCTGTTTGTTAGGGACATTACGTCTGATATTTAATGACGCTGAGCTATAGAACTGAAGCATAAATGATTTTTAAAAGCCCTAGAAAATGACAGCACTCTAGTATTAAACATGAAAGCTGGCGGCTGACAAGCCACTGAGGTTATGGAATTTCTGCACTAAACCACAGCACCCCTGTTACATACTGTACTAAAGGAAAAGCTGAAGCTGTCCATCTTCCAGCCCACCTCAACCTGAGGGTCCTTCCTCAGCATCCCAGGCTCTCAGCTTCCCTGATGCAAGATTTGATAGCCTAGGTGCAGTTTACTTAACTTTTTTTTGGGGGGGGGTGTTGGGTATTGAACTCATGACCTTGTGCCTGCCTGTCAGGTGCCTATGCCACTGAGCTAAATCTCAGCTACTTAGCACCATTTCATGTCTTTATTTTTTAAATTTTATTTATTTATTTATTTTTTGTTCCAGACAAAGTCTTCCTATGCAGTTCAGGCTGGACTTGAACTCACCATTGTAGCCCAAGCTGGCCTTGAACTAAGGGTGCCCTCCTGCCTCAGCTTCCCAAGTGCTGAGATTATAAGTGCGCACTACTACACCCAGCCAAACATTTTTATTTTTATCTTTTTTTAAGTTTTTTTTTTTAATCGGTACTGGGGATCAAACTCACGACCCATGGGCTTGCAAGGCAGGCGCTTATGCTGCTGAGCTAATTTTATTTTTGAGATGCCCTCTCACCATCTTTCTTGGATTGGTCATGGACTCATGATCCACCTGTTTCAGCCTACCAAACGGCTGGGATTACAGGTGCGCCTGTCCAAACATGTTATTTTAAAAACTAATTCACTTTCTGAGTAGATTCCAATCAATTTTACAGAGACTGGGAGCACTCTGCGTTTAAAATTAAGACACATATCTCAGGCATCGTGGCACACCTTTGTAATCTCAGCACTTTTGGGGGGGGGTGTTGAACTCACAACCTCACGTTTGCCAAGCAGGCACTTACGCCACTGAGCTAAACACCCAGTAATCTCAGAGCTTTTACAGGCTGAGGCAGGAGGATTGCACATTCAAGTCCAGGGGTGACTCGGCCAGATCTTCCTTTTTTTTTTTTGTCTTTTTGAGGCAAGAATTTCATTATACAATTCAGGCTGGTCTTGAACTCATTTCGTAGACCAGGTTGGTCTCGAATTCCCAAGGATCCTCCTGCCTCAGCTTCCCCAGTGCTGGAATTACAGGCATGCGCTACCACGCCCAGCGATTTAGCAAGATTTCATTTTTAAAAACAAAAGAGTCCGAGGATGTAGCTCAGCACAAATGCTCTGGGTTTAATTCCCAGCACCAAAGAGATGAAGGAGAGAGGTAAAGGGGGGAAAGCAGCGAAATGAAAGCGACTACCCTGCCGAATGCTGTAAGAACTAAATGAGGCGAGACCAGGGAAGCAAAACCTTGGCACAGCGCCTGACTCACACTGCAGGCCCTCAAATGTGCGCGATTATTACCCCCTCACAACGTTTGCCCTGAGCAGGGACCGCAGGGTGGAGATGAGGAACCAAGCAGGCGCGCAGGGAACTCGAGGGCGCGCCCTTACAGCTGTATCAAACTCCCGCGCTTCCCCACCCTTAAGGCCCCAGCGCGCGCCAGGCAAGGAAGGGGCGGGGCTTGGAGGGCGGGGCCAAGCCGCCCCGCCCTTCCCACCCCACGTCGCCTCGTGCACTTTCTGCCCCTGCGCCTGCCCCAACTTTCCCGCGCGGTCCTTCGACCTCGGCTTCCCCCAGGGCCTGCGCGGGGCGCGAGTCGGAGGTTCCGGAGCGGGACGCTGGCGGGGAGTGGACGCTGCGGTCCCCTCAGCGCCGCCCCGGGGTGTGAAGGTTTGTGGCGAGGGACTGTGGGCTGCGCCGCGGGTGGAGGCTGGGTCCGGCCGCGGCCGCGGTGTCCGCCGTCCGCCGAGGCCGCCCTCGCCCTTGGGAATCCTTGGCCGCCCAGACGAAAGGGAAGTCGGCGCCGGCGAGCCCGCTCTGCATTTTGATTCATCTCAGGCCCTGTGAGGGTCACATCTTGTGAAAATACCTGTAAAATCAATTTAACGTTCAGTGCAGCGTGTAAAGACAGCTCTAAGGATTTAAAAGACGCCTGAGTCAGAACGTTTAAATGCTCGCTCGGTCCCTGTGGCAGCGTTTTAACACGTCTGAGTGCTGAGGGCGGAGAATGTAGCCTGATTGCCGCCACCGTTTTTAAAGGGTAAAGAAAAGCACCCATTAAAAAACAAAACAAAACACCCTAAGTGGGCCGGCCCCTAGGGACGGAACAGCTGACTCGTGGAAATTGGGGTTGGTCCTTATTGCTTACGAAATTTGTCTGCAAAGCTTATTATGTAGACCGAGATTTTAAAAAATAACAGAATTGTTAAAACAGTGAGTTTAACTAAATAGTGGCCTTTGTTAACAAGTCGGTTATGTTATTTATTCTTAAGTCTCATGCAAGGCAGGAATCTTTATCTCAGTTTTGCAGGTTGAAAAAAAGTCTGGCACCAAAAAAGGGATTTTCTCTTCAGTTCACACAGAAGCAGCGCAGAGCTGCAAATTAGTCTCAGCTTTCTGCCTTCTCAGCTGCATCCCCAAAGACCACAGTTACAAAACACATGAGTAGTTACTTTGATGTCCCTCATAAAAGGAGCAAGTAAACCAAATGCTCTCTGAACACGAAGTGTTAAATCATAATAGCCTTCCAGGTCTGTCCTGCTTTGGGAGGCCCTGCTGTCCCTTTAGAGTTAAATACCTTGCAGAGGGAAAGGGGGTGGAGCAGAAATGTGGAAAATAAAGGGAAAAATTTTGCCTCTGGAGGCCACCCTGCGCCCATCTTTGCTGCCCCCAGGGTTGACGTCATTCTTTACCTGGTTCTGCCTGTTCTGGCCATCCATCCATCGCAGGTACATTAGCTGCGCCTTCCCCCTACTGTGTTGGCATCAACCTCTGTCAGTGTGTCTGCCATGTTCCTCCAGGTGCTCCTTACAGATGCTGTTATGTGAAGTCTAGTTGTTCAAGTGTGGAATGTTTTGTCACACCTGAAGGATAATTCTAGAATGAATGACCGAAAACTACCAACTGATTTTCAGTGAAAGACAAGTTAAAGAAGCACAAAGAAACTACTGTGGGGCTGGGGATTTAGCTCAGTGGCATAAGCGCCTGCTTTGCAAGCCCACAGTTATGAGTTCAATCCCCAGTACCAAAAAACAAAACAAAACAAAGAAACTACTGTGGACTTTGATAGCTGAATTATTTGACTGGGGGGACAAAAGCTGACTGATTCCCCCCCCCCCCCGCAATCTTTCCTCAGTTCGTCCATAATTGGCAAACAGCTCAGTTTTAAACTCAGCTTTATGGTGGTACTGGTGGGGAGCCCTCCTGAGTAGACTTTACTGAATTGGAAACTTTTCCTTTCAGAAAGAGGCTCCTTTCTGTACAGCTCAGAACAAGGAGATATTCCTGTGCTTGGAGTACAAAAATATTTTGACATTGGTGAGTCTGTTCATGAACCTTATGTGAGAGGTTGGCCCCAAGGATGTGTGATTTAGCCCCTCACTGTAGAAGGCCTCCCTGCAGTTCTTTCCAAGCTTGTCGATAACATAAATTCAAACCTCAAGCACATTCATCTGGAGCAAGAGCTGTTTATCTATTTTTTATTTCATTGTTTTGGTACCAGGGATTGAACTCACAACCACACCCTTGCCAGACTAATTTTTTCATTTTTAAAAACTTTCTGGTACCTTTTAGATATATATAACGATAACATTCATCATAGAGAATTTGTATCTGTACATAATATATCTTGCTCCTTTTTTTCCCCTCCCTTCAACCCTGCTTCAAGCCTTCCTTATTTATAAACTGTTTGTGTCCATGTTTTCCTCCTTTTTTTCCTTCTCCCTTCTTTCCTATTCCCCTCTGTTACACATTTTGGTCTTTATTTATATTTCAGTTTCTCATACCATATGAACAATGCAGTAAACGTGTGTCTGATTTATTTTACTAAAGCATTGATGTTCTAAAAGTGTATTCATTTAGCTAGAAATGTCTCAAGTTTATCCTTTATGGAAGAGTAGCACTCCATCATAAAAAACTTTTTTTTTTTGAGACAAAGTCTTGCTGTATAGTTCAGATTACCCCTGAACTCACTATGTAGTCCAGGCTGGTGTTGAACTTGTGCAGTACTCCTGCCTTAGCCTCCTGAGTGCTGGGATTACAGGCATGTGCCACTTCACCTGGCCAAAACACACACACACACACACACACACACACAATCTGTTCATCAGTTGATGGGCATATTGGGCTGATTCTAAGATTTAGCTATTACAAATGGAGCAGGAGCTATTTCTTCATCTTTTTATTTTCTTTCATTTGTTTCAGCACAGATAAGAATCCTAACCTAAGAAAATAAAATGGCATCCGGAGATTTCTGCTTACCTGGGGAAGGAATGGAAATAGTTCAACAAGGTAAGGGTAGATATTTGCAAAATTTTTGATGACTTTATCCAGAGAGGTCTTACCTGGGTTGGGTGTGGTAGTTCACACCTATAATTACAGCACTCTGGGATTTAATATCAGTTTTGATACCTCAGATTGTTTCTTTTCCTCTCTCCCTCTCTCTCTCTCTCTCTCTCTCTCTCTCTCTCTCTCTCTCTCTCTCTTTTTTTAAATCTTTGAGACAGGGTCTCTCTATGCAGTTCAGGCTGACCTTGGGCTCACTTTGTAGCCAGACTGGTCTCGAACTTGGAAGGATCCGCTTACCTCAGCCTCCTGAGTGCTGGGGTTACAGGCATGCGCCACCATGCCTGGCTCGCAGATCATTTTTATGTTTTAAATTCTCCAGAAACTAACTAACTTACTTACTTACTTACTTTGTATTTTTTTTTCCCTTGAGGGCCCAGGCTAGCCTGGAATTCACAGAGATCCTCCTACCTCAGCTTCTTGAGTGCTGAGATTACAGGCATGAATCACCATGCCTGGCCAGAAACTTACATTTTCTATATTTTTACTATCTCTATATTGACTTTTTCAGTACTTTAGTATGGGGAGAGAGAGAGTTCTTATTCTCTTAAAGGACTATGAGTATAAAGGACTACAGAATGAAGATTTGAGTTTTGGTAAGTAGAAGTAAAAGATCCAGCAGAAAAGAAGAAGTGGAAAGAAAGCTCTCTTGAGTACCTGGAATAGCCAGACAACCTAATTTGCTCTTTTTCTCACCCTTGTGCTGGTCTGTATTCACATGGGTTAGTCAGCTATGCTTACAGTAATGAGAATTTGCTTAGTTTTTACTACCCTAAGGATATACCTTTTCTTAGTTTTGCTTATGCTACTAGAGATCAAATCTAGTGTTGGAATTTTACATGTGTTCCCCTCCCCCTTTTCTTGGTACCAGGAATTGAACTCCGGACTTGTGCTTGCCAGACATTGTCCCCGCTTTTTAAATCCTCTAGTGCTAGATGTGATGGTGCACACCTGTAATCCCAGGGAGGCAGGCCAAGGCAGGTGCATTGCTGCAAGTTTGAGGTCAGCCTGGGCTACATAGTGAGTCCCTGTCTCAAAAAACTAAACAAAACTCTAGTAATTCTGCACAAATGAGGCATTTGGGTGCTATGATGACCCCTGCTAAAGGGTTCCTTATTTTTCTTCCTGTCTCATGTTTACCAGCTGCACTTCAATTTATTTTTCCTTTCCTTCCCCTTCGCCTTCGCCTTTGCCTTCGCCTTCGCCTTTCCCTTTCTCTTTCTTTCTTTCTTTCTTTCTTTCTTTCTTTCTTTCTTTTCTTTTCTTTTCTTTCTTTCTTTCCTTCCTTTTTTGGTAGTGCAGAGGATCAAACCCAACCTTGTTCATGACAAACACATGCTTAGCCATTAAGCTACATCTCTAGCCCCTGCATTTCCCTTTTCCAAGAAGTTAGTTTTATTAAATAAATATTTCCCTTTGACATACTTGTAGCCAGGAGAGGTGGTACATACCTAAAACTGCATCACTTGGGAGACTGAGTCAGGAGGATTGTGGGTTTGAAGTTAGTCTGGGTTGATGACCCTACCTTAAAAAGACAAAAGCCAGCTGTGCTGGCGCACATGTCATCCAGCATTTGGGAAGCTAAGGCAGGAAGATCCAGGCCAGGTTGGGCTGCATAGTGAGACACTGTCTTGACATCTACCCCCCAAAATAGGCATAGTAATCCCAGCACTTTGGAGGCTGAGGCAGGAACACCACCATGAGTTAGAGGCCGCCTGGGCTATGTTAGTGAGTTCAGTGCCAGCCTGAACTATAGTGAGACCCAAAGAAAACCAAAAACCGCTCCAAAAAATGAAAATCCTTACATATAAAACAAATGCTTGCTACTTCGAGTATCACCTCTAGTTTATTGTTTTGTTTTGTGATAGGATCTTAAATGTCATGCAGGCTACCCTTGAATTTACTATGTACTCCAGGCTGGCCTCGAACTCATGTGATCCTCCACCTTAGCCTTTGAGTGTGGGATTAATGGCATGTGCCGCTACACCTGGTTTAGTTGGTGTTGCTTTTAAAAGTCTCGTTAGATTTAGAAGCCTGTCCTATCAAAAGCCAGGTTTCTTGGGACTGGGAAACTCAGCTATGCTCAATGCTATAAAGAGCTTTTTCATCCCCACGCCATGAAGTGTGCAGCAAACAGTTTCCTCCTTGTAACCTGAGGGAAGAAGACCTGCTGCAGAACCCGCACTTCAGCCAGCTGCTGCTGAGCCTCTCGAAGCACGTGGATGAGAGTGGCTTAAGCCTCTCGCTGGCCAAGGAGCAGGCTGAGGTAAGGGTCCCAGGCAAAGGGAGGATGGAGGCGGGAAATCCTTCTGAGAGAGGCTCCTGCCTAAACGGTTTTGGTTTTCTGTTTTCTGTTTTTTGGGTGTTTTTGTTTTTGTTTTTGTGGGGTTTTGTTTTGTTTTTTGAGACAGGGTCTCGCTGTGCAGATCAGGCTGGCCTTGAACTCACTTTGTAGTCCAGGCTGGCCTTGAACTCACAGCAATCCTCCTGCCTCAGCCTCCCGGGGTGCTGGGATTACAGTTGTGTCCCACCACGTCTGGCCCAGGTTTTTGGTTTTGTAGGCGTGGAAGGAAGTCCGACTGCATAAGACAACGTGGTTGAGGTTTGAAGTTTTACAGAGAGTCATTCAAGAGCTGCTTGTGGACTACTATGTGAAGAAGCAAGATACAAGTTTAACTTCTGAGGACAAAAAGGTGAATCTGCATGATGAGGTTGGAGTCAGTTACCAGTTATAGGAATGACAGGCCAGCTGCCACTTTGTGGGATGATGTGGTGTAAGGGAAAGATGGGCTTTGAGTAGTGGCTTATTAAGAAAGAAATGGACTGCAGTTATTGGGTGAGGGTTTGAGATAGAAAAATGGACAGGAGAGGCCACTTGCCGCTGAGTTATCTAAAGAAGATGATGTGTAAGGACTTGGAAAATGTGTGAGAACTAGTTCCTAGGGATAGAAGAGTTGGAGGAGGAGAAGTTTTATTATTACTTCTTGCTTTTTCATTCTCTCTCAGTTCCTTGAGACCCTTGAACATCGGCTGCTTGTGACTGAACTGACACAAATTTTAGGCCCCGGCCAGGAAAGGGAGGCACCCATGCTGCTGGGCCTGGAGAAGGCAGACCTTCTGGAGCTCATGCCACCCTCGGAGGTTGGGAGTGGGCTGTGCTGGGAGGAGAGAAGCAAAGTGGTGTGAGGGCCAGGGGCACAGCTCAGTGCACAGCACCTGCTCGGCCAGTGCGAGGGCCTGAGTTTGATTTCCGGTGCAAAAAAAAAAGTTGTTAAACTTTACTGTTTTGTGAAAATTATATACATCCAGGATAGTCAAACTCATAAAAAAATCTATACAAAAAACACTTTATATGGAAAAAAGAAAAGCTGAAGCATTACATCTAGAAATCATACTGTTTATTATAAATAGCTTGATGTAAATGCTATTATAGCCTCCATTCTTGTATAGAGTTTGTTTTTGTGTTACATATTTTAGACTTTTCATGTCAATAAATATCTATAAATAAGGTGGTACATTTCAACCAGGTGTGATGGCATACCTGTAATCCCAGCACCCAGGAGCTGTGGAATGAGGATTATGAGTTCAAGGCCAGCCTGACCTGCACAGTGAGTTTCAGGCTAATCTGGACTACATAGTAAAGCCCAGTCTCAAAAACAAACATAGCTGGATGTGGTGGTGCACACCTGTAATCCCAGCTCTCAGGAAGCTGAAGCAGGAGAATCCCTGCAGTTCAAGGCCAGCCTGAACTGCATGAAACCCTGTCTCAGAAAGACAGTAAAAACAAAAACTAATAAAAATCAAGCTGGGTGTGGTGGCACATGCCTATAATACAGCATTCGAGGAGAGCAAGGCAGGAGGCTCACAAATTTGACCTGTCTGGGCTACATAGTGACACTTTGTCTCATAGTTAAAAAGGACTTAAGTTGGGCCAGGGATATTGCTCAGTGGCACAGCACCTGCCTGGCAAGCTCAAGGTCCCAAGTTTGATTCCTGGTACTGTACAAAAAGGGACTAAATCATTATATATATATATATATATATATATATATATATATATATATAAATTTTTTTTCTTTTTTTTTTCCTTTTTTTTTTTTTTTATTTTGGAGTTGGAGCTAATTGTGAAGGCTCAATCCCTTCACAATTTTTGTTTTTGTACTGCAAAAACAAAAACCTGCCACACTGATATCTGCCTTGCTGCTCACTGGAAAGGTGTTTCCAGTGTTTATTGTCACCAACATGAGGTCTTGACAGTCATGTTACTTAAAACCTTTTTTTCTCCTGCAGTGCTGGAGATTGAACCCCAGACCTCGAATGGGCTCAGCAAGTGGCCCCCTGGGCCTCGCCCTCTGTGCTGTCAGGCTAACCATGGGTCTCCTTCTTGTCTCTCAATGTGTTTTCCTTGGTTGTTACTGCAGTTTTATTATCATGTACTCAAGGCGAGGTCTCTTAATTTCAGCAGTCTACTTACACCTCTCTTTTTGCCTCTCTGGCTATAGGATTTTGCGTGGATGCGAGCTCGGCTCCAGCTGGAAGTGGAGGAGCAGCTCAAGAGGAAGTGCTTTGCTCTGCTTTGCTACCATGACCCCAGTTCAGGTGCGAGCTGGCTCTGTTCTGCTTGTGGCTAGCCTCAAGGGTCCTGAGTGCTCTTTGAGAATAATGGGTTTGAAGGGTCAGAGATGCAGATTGTTTCCTTGCTGAGGGAAGAAAAACACTTTGTAAGGACTCCTTTTATTTAGCAAGGTTCCAGGGGCCAAGTGAGAGAGAAGGACACGTTGTGACTCTGGAGGATCAGATGGCAGAGTGGGGAGAGTTTGCATCCTTGCCTGCTCCCCTAACCTTTATGAATTCAGGGCCACAGCAGGACTCAGAGGTCAGCATGAAGGGACCTAACAATGAGAATTGGACAGCGGAAGGAACTGGGAGAAGGCAGAATGTAGAGGGCTAGATGGGTGGCAAGAACCTGCCCTGGACAGTAATGCCTAGAACATCCCAGGCAGTCCTTTGTCTTTGTGCCCAGATGCTGACAGCGAAACCCTGAAGGCTGCAAAGGTGTGGAAGCTGGCAGAGGACATGGTGGCTGAGAAGCAGCAGTGCCAGGACGCACAGAGCCAGCACAAGGAGCAGCTGGTGCTCCTGGAGAAGAAGAGCACCACTTACACCCAGGTGAGCGGCTGGCCTCCCTCACCCTCCTGGGGACAGAGCTTCTGGTTTGCCTGGCTTGTGCTAGCCTTGCTCATGGCCTCTTCCTCCTCCTCCTGGGCCTCAGGTGCTTCTCCGCTGCCTCACCTTGCTGCAGAGACTCCTTCGGGAGCACCGGCTGCAGGCCCAGTCCAAGCTGGACCACATCAATGCCCAGTACCTGGAAGTCAAGTGCAGTGCCATGATCCTTAAGCTGCGGTGAGGCTCACATACCACTTTGTTGTCCCCTGCCCTCATTTCCTCTCTCCTGTGCCTAGCACCCGAAGGCATCCAGGAAGTGTCACACGGCAGCATTAGCCTTGAATCAACCAAAGGCTTTTGGCTATTTCACTTTATAGCTGCCTGAAATTGATGTGTTAGGTGAGATCCCTGTTCATGGATTGAGGGTGACCTTATCCCAGTCCTTGCTTAGCCCCATCTTAATCATGGCCAGGTACCATGTCTGCACCTAGCTCCGTTGCTTCAGCCAACATCCATGGGACTTACTTTCTTCTCTCTGTCAGGATGGAGGAGCTGAAGATCGTGTCTGACACTTACACCACTGAGAATGTGGAAGTTCACCGGATCATTAGGTGAGGCCCCATGAGGCTGGCTCCTACACCGACAGCTGTGTGCATCCTCATACTGACCTTTCTCTGCCTGGCCCTTAGGGACCGCTTGGAGGCAAGCATCCGCCTACAGGAGCAGGACATGCAGAAGTCACGACAGGCACTGAGCACCTATGAGGTGCTCGGGGAGGACTTTGACAGGCTGGTAAAGGAGTACACCCGGCTTAAGCAGGCTGTGGAGAACAAGCGTTGGGCCCTGCAGGAGTTCAGCAGGTCTGACAGCTGAGCACGGCTTCCACACTGCCCCTGCCTGCCTCCCTCCTGCCCACTGGGCTGCTTCCACTGGGGGCTGCCTTTACTTGGAGGAGAGTCGTGTCACATGCTCAAAACACAGCCGTTGTTGGGGCTGGGGATTTAGCTCAGTGGTATAAGTGCCTGCCTTGCAAGTGTGCGGTTCGATCCATGGTACCAATAAAACCGAAAAAGACCAAAAAATAAAAAAATAAAAAAAACCAGCAGTTGTGCACACATCCTCCTGGTTTCTTGTCTACTGTGACGGGGTCTGTTGAGAAAACTTGGCAGATTTATAGTAGCTCTTTGTCAGTGTCAGCCCTGTGTTTGATTATCTCCTGAATAAAGTTTTGGCATTTTTTTTCATAGGATTTTGGTCGTTTTCCACAGGCAAAAGTGGAGAAAGAACACTGAAGTCTGTGAGTAAAGAGAAGGACTAAATGGGTGTGAACAGAGACAGCTCTGTAGTGCTCACCCAAAAGGTGAGTGGCCATAGCACCAGCCTGTCGCCCTTTGGTCCTAAAGGCTTCATTCTGGGAGAGCAGAGAAGAATTAAACCCAGACTTGCCCTTGAAGAACTGTGATGTCCAGGGTAGCAGCTGCTCAGTGGGCCGTCAGTCAGCAGTCACAATAGACAGCAGGCATTCAGCGCAGTGCTAGGCAGAAACACAGCTACTGGCTCCTGGTTCCCTCTGACATGGTGTGAGGACTTCGTGTCTCTTCAAAGCAGAGGGCAGGAGGAGACCCAAGGAAACAAGTTCACAGGTGCCTTAGCTGAGAACAAGGCAGGGGCCTAGCTGTTAGCAAAACCAGGGGGTGAGAACAGAAGCAGAAGGGTTTTGTTCTACTCAGCTGCTTCTCAGAGACTGGCTCAGGCAGGCTGCTAAAGTCAAATGATGCTCCAGGTTGGTACAGGAAGAATTAGATTCTTACACTGTCCATAAATGATGTTTAGTGCTATTTTTGCTACAGGCAAATGTCCCACACAAAATGGATACATAGCCAGATATGGTGATGACTGTCCCCAGCACTCAGGGTACTGAGGCTGGAGGACACCATAAGTTCAAGGCCAGCCTGGCCTACATAGTGAAACTGCCTCAAACAATTGAAATGGACAAATATCAAGTAGATAATAGAAAAATTCAGAGATAACCAATAATAGATGGACATGGTGGCACACACCTGTAATCCCAGCACTCGGGAGGCTAAGGCTAGAAGATCTCAAGTTCAAATCCCACCTGAGGAACTTTGTGACTTAGCAAAAAAGGGCTAGAAATGTAGTTAAGTATGGAGACCCTGGGTTTAATTTCCAGTACTGTGGGGAAAAAATAAGTTGACTATAAAAAATTGGGCCATACTTTTCAGAATGTCTCATGATCTCCCTGTGGTACCTGATGTGTTCCTCTCCTGTTCTCACATGGTATCCACTAGCTACATGTAGCTATTTAATTCAAGTACGAGTCAGTGATTGAAAATTAAGTTGCCAGTAGCTTGGTGTTTACTGTTTTGTACATACACAGAACATAGATATTATTGCAAAAATTTCTACTGGACAGTGCTGTAAACCTGTATGTCTTGCAAATGGAAGGTAGATCTACAGGCTTGACTGGATTCAGGCAAAACATTTTTGCAAAAGTATGTAACAGGTGACATATAATTCACAAGACACAAACCGGAGCCTCAGCAGGTCAGGATGTCTCTTGCTGTCTCTTTTTTTTTGTGGTTGTTTGTTTTTTGAGACAGAGTCTCACTGTGTACTTCACTTGAACTCACTGAATAGCCCAGGTTGGTCCCAAATTCGCAGTGATCCTCCTGCCTCAGCCTCGTGAGTGCTGGAATTATAGGCAGGTACCACCATATCCAACTAGAATGTTTTAACGTTTTAGCTAAATTTGATTGCTTGGTTAAGGTGGCAGCTGACATGACCATTAGTGAGATCTCTGTAATATAAAAAGGTAGATTTTTTTCCCTTGGGTGTTAGTAGCATCTAGAAATGAACTTCAAAATTTCAAAATAGTTCTAATTGATATGGTATTCAACATTTCCTCACTTAATTAGGTGCTCATCCTCAACCATACTGGGTTATGGTATTTGAAATAGTAACAATCAAAAAAAAAAAAGTGGAGCTTGTCCTTAGTATTTACAACCTGTAGATACCAGTAGGCACACAAAAACAGTCTAAGGAGCCTGGCACAAAGGCATTGTGGTGGATTAACTAATGGTAATGTGTAACACCCAGCTGAAGTGAATCATCATGGTGCTGGGTATACAGGACCCAGCTGAGGATTGTTGCCAACAACATAAGAGAACTGGAGAGGAAGATGATGGCTGTTGATTCTCCTGGAAAAGCTTGTCACGTTGGTTTTCCTAGTACAAACTCAGCTGTTACTGTTGGAGGACCTCAGGTTCTCATCAGCACTGAAGATTGCTGTGGGTCTCTTTGGGAGAGTTCTGGTCCTTACTTAAGGCATTGCTTCCTGGCCCAGTACAGATCCCTCAGCCTGCTGGCACAGACCCTTCATCCCACTGGCGCAGACCTTCTAGCTTCTACCAGTGACTTGGGCCTTCCCAGTGCAGATCCATGAAGCAGACTTGCATGAGTCATTGCTGTGAGCTCTAGGTCTTCAGCTGAACATTACTGTGGGTCCAGGCCCTCGGCAGGATTCTTTGGGTCTCTGGTGTATAGGCAGATTTCCACTCTTCGCATTTGACTCTTTGGGTGAATATTATACAATAATCCTATAAATTACATGTCCTGTATTAAATTTACTCTCTTGCAAACCTTGACTACAACAGGCACATGCCTCTTAACTGCAGCTACTGGAGAGGCTGAGGCAGGACCAGTCAGAGCAGCTTAGCAAGACACTGTCTCAAAGAAATAAAAATACCTGGGCTGGGTATGGTAATGTGCTGTTTTAATCCCAGCACACTGAGGCTGAGGAAGGAGACGTGGAAGTTTGAGCTCAGCCTGGACAACTTGGTGATTTTGCAGGACCCTGTCTCAAAATACAAAGTAAAATTTTAAAAAGGGCTAGAGGCTGGGGATGTAGCTCAGTGTGAAAGCCCTGGATTCTCTCTCTCTCTCTCTCTCTCTCTCTCTCTCATTTCTCTCTCTTTCTCACACACACACACACACACACACACACACACACACAATACTGAATGTAGCTCAGTGGTAGAATGCTTGCCAGCGTGTGCAAGGTCCTACCGGGTTGAAACCCCAGAGTAACAAAAACAAAATGGGTGTGTGTTTACATGATATATATTGCATATAACTATGGTTGCCAACCAGAAATGATGATTCAGGAGGGCTGGGGATTTAGATCAGCAGCATAAGCGCCTACCTTGAAAGCATGTGGTTGTGAGTTTGATCCCCAGTACCAATTGAAAAAAAAGGGGCGGCACAAGCGCCTGCCTTGCAAGCAGGCAGTCGTGAGTTTGATCCCTGGTACCGATAAAAAAACCAAAAAGACCAAAAAGAAAAAAAAAAAAAAGCAAAACACAACAACGAATCAGGAATTTAAAGCAGTGTCTTGGTAAAGAAAGCAGATTTGGCCCAGACTTGTGGAGGTCCATTCAGGATAGAATTTTGGAAGAAATGGTAAAGATAATGGGAAGGTGCAGTGCGTGAAGCCACAGTTGGGAATGAGCAGATCATGTACCTAGGAAAAGCTGTCATTTAATGTGGCCAAAACTTGGGGGAAAAAAAATCCATGGTTTAAATAGAGACTGAAGAACTGGAGGTTGAGAAATGTTCAGATTTTCAACCACCTGAGAAAATTAAATGGCTTGTAGGGCCTGGGGTTCCCAGTTCAGCTCCTGATAGAACATGAACAGTGAGCTAGTTCTTTTGTTTCCAAAGTCCAAAGAAATCTGAGTATTTTTCTATAGCAGTTACGCACGAATTTGAAAATAAAGTGCGGGGAGGGCCTCAAAGACAAAAAACACATACTCGGTAAAAAACTCAAAACTGAGGTGGGGCCCATATTGTAATCCTAACAGTAGGCGAGGCAGGAGGATCACAAGTTCAGTCCAATCTGGGTAATTTAGTGAGAACCTATGTCAAAAAAGCTGGATACTGTGGTAGACACCTGTAATCCTAGCATTCTAGGAGGGTAAGGCAGGATCTGGGCAATTTAGCAGTTCATTAAGAGCCTCTCTCAAAAAATAAAAGGGCTGGGTATAGCTCAAGGTGAAGGCTCTGGTTTCAATCTCCAGTACTATAATAAATAAATAAAATTAAAATTTTTAAAAAATCGGCCATGGTGGTACATGCCTGTAATCCCAGCACTTGGGAGTGTGAGGCAGGAAGATCAATGACTTCAAGAGCTGCTTGTACTACAAGGTGAGACCCTGTTTATTTAAAGAAATAAAATTTAAAGCCACAAAAGTAATTTCATCCTACCTGGGGGTATAGCTCAGTGCAAAGGTCTTGGATTCAATCCCTAGTATAGTAAAAACAACAACAAACAAACACTACTCCCCTTCATTAAAAAAAGTAATCTATTGCTCCCTGGGAGGCTGACACAGAAGAGCAAACACTGGAGCACAACCCAGCAATTTAGTGACTTACCAAGATCCTGCCTAAAAAAAGATGAGGTGGGGGAGATGTAGCTGAGCTCAGTCTGAGGGCCCTATTTTCAATCTCTAATACCTCACACACATGAAAAGATAACGTGTTTAAAGTCAGCTGATTGCAAGGCAGTCATGGTGGCTCATCTAATCCCAGCTATTGGGGAGACTGAGGCAGGAGGATTAAAATTTGAGGCCAATCAGAGCCACTTAGTGAGAGCCTGTCCCAAAAAGGGATGGGGATGTAGCTCAATGACATGGATCCTTTTGATTTCCTGTACTGAAAAAAAAAATTGCAGATGTTAATTACATCTGTATTACACTTTTTTTTTCTTTTTTTTTTTTGTATTACACTTTCACTGCAGCATGGAGGCTAGTGTTTGATGAAGTATCTGTGATCTGGAACAATGCACTCCTAGTGTATGAGGACAAGCCCTAGGGTGCCGTGAGACTGAAGAGTTCTAGAAAGGCAGACAAATCTGGGGTTGCATGAGTGCAGCTCACTGAGAGGCTTCCTCATGGAAGCGTGGACCTGGCTGCAGCAACCCCAACTGAGTCCTTACAATTAGGGTCAGAAAAGGGGTTGTACAGATGGGTTAAGACAGGAGTGGTTTCATCCTAGCTGGAATGAACCTGGTTTCTTAAACCAGTTATGAAAACATTTGGC